CCCCCCCCCCCGCCCCCCCCCGGGAGGAAAGGCTCAATCCTATTACAAATCCAGTTGCCTGTAATTTTGTTTTCTGCAATTCCAAATAAGTGGAACGTCAAGCCTCCTTGGTTTGATTTTTCTCTCGCAGGAGAGAAGAAAAATATTAATAAGTAGAAGTTTTCTTCCGAATGCTTTTGATGCAAGAAACAAATCCCGCTTTTCCATAAGCATTATAAATAGAAATGCTTAACTTGAAAACAGAGCATGGATTAGAGCCAAAATAAGATGGAATCCAGGAAGTTAAACAGACTCGGAGACTTCCAGCTCAAAAAGCCTGCCAGCATCTTTACAGGGTAAACTGGGGATTTCTATCTCCAGGTCAATGGACTAGTACTGTGCCCAGCATGACCCATCATTTTCGTGAATATAGGACAAAGGTGTAAGGGAAATCTTTTCAGCACGAGGCGGGTACCCACGGCAGTTCTCTGGCAAGTGTGGCAAGACCACAGAGGCTTTGCAGCTGACCAGATGTCACAGTTCACAGAAGGGCAAACATCTGAAGCACCGTGTCTCGCTTCTGCCCCCGCTGCAGCTAAACTGATTTAATCACAACTGTGCTAAAAATCCCTCGTGCTTCCCACTCACACTGCCAGAGCACAGGCGTACTTCTCTCACACATGGTCATGACAACTTTTCAATGCTTGCAGGGGTGTGAGAAACCATCACAGCCACTTCAAAACAATGTTATGGCTTCCAGCCCCTTTTGCAAATTAGAGGGTGCAAGACACAAAATGGCAGCAGCACAAATGGAATAGCAGCCTGCACAGCACCGTCCACAGCTTCGATGGCCCAGGCAAAGCAGGTTCTGCCAGCCAGAAAGGTATTCCTATTTTCCATTGACTACTAAACACTGAGTACAAACACTTAAACACTCTGTTTGATTTCCTCTCACAAGGTTGAAGAACTTAACGTTCCTTTCAAGTGAAAAAAAATCATAACCTATCTTGCATTGTATACAGGAGGAAAAAAAATAGATGTTCTGGTCCAAAATTTACAAGAGTAGTATTCTGAGGTTATAGTTTAAGAAAACAAGTCCATTACATTTCAGTAGACCTTGTTCCATCACAACACTAAAGCAACTCTGAAAATTGTGTCCCCGTATGCCTAATAAAATTACATTTAAAAGATTAATTTTTAAAGTCTCCACCATCTCTGAGCAACAAAAGTAGAGGTGAATATAGCAACTCTTTTCTTGCCTTATCTCAAAATAATACCTGAGAATTGCAGTTTTTGTGTTACACTATCCCCTGGGACCTCAGCCCAGACTGAGAATTTAAATGGGTGCTCCCAGGTGCTGAGCAGCCTGCAAATTATATTGATCCAGAGAAAGAAGATGCCGTGGTAAATTTTGCAAAAAGAGACATGATGTTATGAACCTGAGAGAGAAAAAGTTCTTTATCTTATACTGACAGAAGACCTCAAAAATATCTGCTGGAGGGCTGCTGCTGAAGCAGCTGCAGCTGTGTTGGAGACATTGCAACAGGGAATTTCTAGCTATTTTTTCTCTCCCTCAAAGCTGCCCAGAAAAAGGGCATGAGTGCCCCTATATATAAGCACACGAACAGGCAGCGATTAAGGGCTGGGATCGCATGACATGAGAACCCAGGGACTAAGGGAATGAGGGAATTATCTGCATTTCATAGGAGGCGGGGGGGCGGGGGGGAAGGGGGTAGGTCAATTAAATAAACTAAGCACTCTTAGGCAGCAAGCAAGGAAATCTCTAGGTCAGTAATAGGCAGGTGATGGAAAATGGAGTATAGATGAAGCTCAAGGAGGATAAGGTTGAGGGTCAGCATGGGCTGACATTAATAGCTCAACAGGGCAATAGGTAGTTAGAGGGTATCAGGGAACAGAGTTTACATATACTACAGTAAATAATAATTACCAAAATATATCTATTGTGTGGGGTTTTCCTCTTTCCTCTAATTTTTCTCCTGTTAGTGTGCAGGACTTGGAGATACCCGGTACATTAATGATATTAATCCACACAAAAAAGCAGAAAAAAAAAAATCGTAACCTGAAGACAATTACATGAAGACAAGCAAATAGATTTAATAACCATTAATATGACCACTGTTAGATAGATGTTATTAAAAATAACTGTAAAAGTATTTGTGTGTAAAAGCATTTGTGTGTATGTGTACATATACGTGTACACATTTAGAAACCATCGCTGTGTAGAGCACGGTGCCAGTGAGTCATGAGTATGGATGTGTGTATGAGTGAACGATCACGAGGCGGCTACAGGGGCCCCTGAAATACCCTACAGCAGCGCCCCAAGAGCCCCAGAACAACACCCACAATAACCAATTGCTGATGCAGATGAGAGCAGCAGCCTCATGAAGCCCCTAAAACTAAGCGCAGAGGCAGAGCTGTCTTTAGGGAGTATGTATGGCTACAGCAAGAGCAATCGGCTGGTGAGCATCACCGATTCAGAGCCAAGCATGCAGAATTGATCGCTGCGGGTGCTGCATAGGTATTATCTTTAAGTAGAAATTAATTTTCAATGCCTGTGTTTGCGTTTGATCTAATATCCCACCGTTGAGTCCTGGCTGCAACTAGGATGTAGTAAATCAGGGTGAGATGGTTACAAAGAGGAATGGAGCGTCAGCGACAAGTTCAAATACAGCCTCTGAGATGTACCTTTTTTATTGACACAAATCTAGGGTAAGGAGGAAAAGAAACGGGAGTATGACACACAAGAATTAGGGGTGG